AGTGACAGCCCAGGAGAGCCAGCTCCGTCAGTTCGACGCCCGCGTGGCACGTTACTTCAGTGGTGGAGGCAGCTTCATGGCCAGAGAGCTGCTCATCGCCACATGGGATCAGGTCGGATACTACAACGCCGCCACCGACAAGGTACGCGAGCGCAGCTGGGGCTGTGGCCAGAAAGGACAAGTGTAACTCTAGCTGTGGCCGTAAGGGACGGTGCCATTGTGGGAACGGGTTGAACTCATCCTCTGTTTTTAATGAAACTGATAAAATACCTTTATGAAGCCGCGAGGAATAATATACCTCAAACATGGTTTTAGCGCATTGCCTCCCATTCATCTTTTGCTGCTTCTACCAATAGTGGTGTTCCAATTTGGTAATTGGGTGCAATTCAATTCGAAAAGCATCTTTTGAATGCATTATGTCCCTCGGGTTGATTTAAATATCGTCGGCTTTAAACGTCGCAGTGATGATTGCAAAGAACATGAGGCGGAGGGTGGGACGTAAATGGTGCTTACCGAATGTTAAGTTCTATTTCCATCTATATGGCCGAGAAAAAGATAAGCGCTTAAATGGCAGCACAATCAATCATTTTGGTAAATGTAGCTTTAGGACCTAAAAACAATAACTTATTGTTGTGTCTTTTTGCATTATTGAGCAGGCTTGGGTCAACGTAAATGATTGTATTTTTTAGCGTGATTAAAGCAATAAAAAGACAAAAGTCAGCCACTTAAAACCTAGCCACAAAGAATGCCCCGCGACCGTCTGCCCACGTCGCCGTCTGACAACACAGAGCGGTGACCCCGCGCTGACCCGTCACAATGAAAGGTCACCCACTGGGTCACGTGACCCAGGTGACAGCGAAGTGCAGTAAGGACGTGTACACCCCCATGTCAGCGTGCGGACGGCATCAGAGCTACCATATTATACAGCCCCCTCCCCCCCTACAAAAGGGGAGTATACGATATGGTGGCTCTGATTCGGTCCGCGTAACCAACACCAGCATAACCAGCACCAGCATTACCGTAACCAGCACTTTCACTGCAGCGTGTCTCTAAGTCAAGGTCTTCTACGACCAACCTGTCTTCGCCATCGGCCTCCTGCCCTGCTGCTGGCCGGCGTCACAGACTGCCGGCCGGGCGGGGCACTCCACCCATGATGCGCGAGACAGACTTCATTTGTCGAGTAAATGACGTACCACCGGCACATCCTTAGAGCTATGATTACTGATACCGACACCGGATGCGCCCTTGTCACGACATGTCGCCTGTTACCGGGGCTGGTACGGTTGTCGACCAAGACACACAGCCACCGCTGACTGCACGGATATCACCCGGCACTCGGAGGCTCCCATCCTGCTAATGATCTGTGGGCTGTCTTCCAACTGTGCCCGTTTGGATCCCGCACTGGATCTTTCTTTGTCTCCCCAGACCAACACGTACCAGCTCCTGGTGGGCTGGGACGGTCGGGAGACGTTTGCCCAGTTCCTGTACGCCGACGGTGGCCTGCAGTGGATCGCCGGCGAGGGCAAGACAGCCCACCACGCGGACGCGCGTGGCCAGGCGGGCATGGTCAGCGGCGACGGCCGCATGACCCAGCTGCAGTACTCCGGCACGGACCAGGTCCGTCACCTGGACAGGTCAGTGTGTGAGCCAGCTGCAGTACTCCGGCACGGACCAGGTCCGTCACCTGGACAGGTCAGTGTTGTGAGCCAGCCTTGCAAGACTCCGGCACGGGACCAAGGTCCGTCACCTGGGACAGGTCAGTGTGTGAGCCAGCTGCAGTACTCCGGCACGGACCAGGTCCGTCACCTGGACAGGTCAGTGTGTGAGCCAGCCTGCAGTACTCCGGCACGGACCAGGTCCGTCACCTGGACAGGTCAGTGTGCTGAGCAGCTGCAGTACTCCGGCACGGACCAGGTCCGTCACCTGGACAGGTCAGTGTGTGAGCCAGCTGCAGTACTCCGGCACGGACCAGGTCCGTCACCTGGACAGGTCATTGTGTGAGCCAGCTGCAGTACTCCGGCACGGACCAGGTCCGTCACCTGGACAGGTCAGTGTGTGAGCCAGCTGCAGTACTCCGGCAAGGACCAGGTCCGTCACCTGGACAGGTCAGTGTGTGAACCAGCTGCAGTACTCCGGCGAGGACCAGGTCCGTCACCTGGACAGGTCAGTGTGTGAGTCAGCAGCAGTACCCCGGCACGGACCAGTTCCGTCACTTGGCCAGGTCAGTCTGAGGGATCATATCCTCAGTGGCCAGGGCTGTCATCTTGATGAGCGAGTGTAGGTCAAAGCGGGGTTACGACTGAAATGGGACGTCTATTCTGTTCTGATATTGGTGTGAACAATAGTGTCACGTGCGGCCTACTAACCTATTTGTTGCACGCATTCTTAGATCTTCCCTCCGTCTCTCGGGTTTTTTACCAATATGGAGCTCATGATCCGATCGGCCAATATGGGACTCATCTTATCTGTTGTGTTGCGTTTTACCCTTGACTGGCTTCATAGCACAGGCCGGTAAACGTGCATGCAATATTGATTTTCTTTGCTTTCGCATTCCAGGCTAACAAACTGTCAAGAGCCTGGAGTGTACATCTTCAGAATCGGTAGGATTGAGTCTGAGCAAAGCATCGGCCTGCCCGACATCAACCTCAGCTCAGCAGGTACGCATTCTCAGCCTCATCCTCGACATTTACATTGCCGTTCCTTGAGGAAATACTCCTATTAGGGTAAAACATATTCAGGTAGCAAAAGGAAAATGATAGCGTGGAAAGAAAAGCAGGATAGAAATAAACTAATTTACGGCGTAAGCACCCTCCCACGATTAAGCAGCCGTGCATGACGAAAAGCAGCGCAGAAACCATTTTAGTTCGGCTACGCAATGCCAAAAAGCCTGAGAAATTACCTATACGTCCCTAAATATTCCCGGCACGAAGGCTCATGAACATCTGGTACAAGCATTTGTTTACAATTTGTTCAAGATAAATGACCTTTCATGTCGGCAATAATCTACTGTGCGTAGGTCAATACAGTGACTATTGCACGAAGACAGCATCTCGTGTCCCGCACATTTTGAAGGGCTGGAGTGGTCTGATTACAACAAATAGACGTTATCTGCCACACTCATTTATGGTCGGGTTTTAAACAGAGATGTTCTGGTCAACAATGTGTATTTCGGAGCTGTGAGAATAAGGAGAGGGATGAGTGTTGAAACTCTGCCGGAGTTCTTCGGAAGCTTTCCACCACTAAGCCTTCCCCGTCACGGGGACCAATCCGGGGCTTGTGCAGGTGTTCGGGCACTACTCAGGCCGAGGAGGCCATGAGGCTTCCCCGTCACGGGGACCAATCCCGGGGCTTGTGCAGGTGTTCGGGCACTACTCAGGCCGAGGAGGCCATGAGGCTTCCCCGTCACGGGGACCAATCCCGGGGCTTGTGTAGGTGTTCGGGCACTACTCAGGCCGAGGAGGCCATGAGGCTTCCCCGTCACGGGGACCAATCCCGGGGCTTGTGCAGGTGTTCGGGCACTACTCAGGCCGAGGAGGCCATGAGGTTGAGTCGAGGCTGATGATCCCAGCATCCTCCCGGTGAGGCGGGGTGGGGCGAGGGACTCAGGACATAGTGATGCAGTCAGTGAGGGGAACACGGCTGAGGTCTACCTCAGCGCTTTAGTCGCACCGGTTTGTTGGAAATCCGTCGGATTGTCCCGCTGTTTGGTGGCCGAAGAATGTTGCGCGATTCTGCAGCCTTCGGCTGTCAGCGAGATCTGGGAGCCAAACAGCATGCCGTATTTTTTTACGATCATTTACGGAACCGGGGGATTTCCTGATTACAGTGTGTGAAACTCCTTGGCATGGGATCAGCATCCACATTCTTAGCAGTCAGGCTCTAGGTGACGTTTATAGATACTGTGGATTCAAGCCAGGAAGACTAACAATGTGAGGGCAATCCCTCACCTGCCATAACACTAAATGATATGTTCAAGGCCTGTTTCTCAACTCCCCTGGCAGCAGGCGGGGTTCTCATGGGGTCGCCCCCACCTCCCTTGCCAGTAGAGGCCTGTTTCTCAGCTCCTCTGGCACCAGGCGGGGTTCTCATGCGGTCGGCCCTCATCTATCTTGCCAGTTGGAGCCCGTCTCGTGGGGTCGCCCCCCACCTCCCCTGCCAGTAGAGGCCTGTCTCTCAGCGCCCCTGGCACCAGGCGTGGTTCTCATGGGGTCGCCCCTCACCTCCCCTGCCAGTAAGGGCCCGTCTCTCAGCGCCCCTGGCACCAGGCGTGGTTCTCATGGGGTCGCCCCTCACCTCCCCCGCCAGTCAGGGCCTGTCTCTCAGCTCCTCTGACACCAGGCGTGGTTCTCGTGGGGTCGTCCCTCACCTCCCCCGCCAGTAGAGGCCTGTCTCTCAGCGCCCCTGGCACCAGGCGTGGTTCTCATGGGGTCGCCCCTCACCTCCCCCGCCAGTCAGGGCCTGTCTCTCAGCTCCTCTGGCACCAGGCGTGGTTCTCGTGGGGTCGCCCCTCACCTCCCCTGCCAGTAAGGGCTCGTCTCTCAGCGCCCCTGGCACCAGGCGTGGTTCTCGTGGGGTCGCCCCTCACCTCCCCTGCCAGTAAGGGCCCGTCTCTCAGCGCCCCTGGCACCAGGCGGGGTTCTCACGGGGTCGCCCCTCACCTCCCCTGCCAGAGGGCGCTGCAGACCACGCCGCCTCGCCGGGCGTCTCCGTATTTATTTGTTCTGTCACGCCGCGCCGGCGGGCGGTAATGGGGCTGTTGGCAGCCGCTGGTCGACCCGACACCGAGGGTTGACATGGCTCCTGAGTTGCTCTCGGAAATCCCGCTGTTGGCTGACGTCGAGCACTACGGGCCAGTCAAACCCCGGTTGTGAGCCCCTCGTCTACGGCCCTGATAATCTTCAGTCACAGTCGAAAAGCCGTGGAGCTTTGCCAGTTGTAGCGGTAGCAAAGTGAAAACAGCCCGGAAGGACAGTGTAAATGACGTCAGGAAGCTTCCCGTTCGCTAACGCTGAGGCCAAATGCTGTTTTTAGAGAAGACCTGACTTCACCTCCGTTGGGACTATGCTAGATGGCGTGCGATTCACCTGGCCTGTCCTTCCACTAGACGCGAGGGCTTCCCTCCACTCTGTTGAGAATCGCTCCTGTTGATGGCGAGCCCTGCGCCATTGTCTTCAGCGTGCCCATTGACATTTCTGCGCGGGCACGTGAGATGCTTCCAGGGCACTGCATATGTACCGCATGTATTATACCTTCAGGCAACCTCACAGAATGTAACTTCTCCAAAGCCTTCGCTTACAAAACTGAGCGAATGGATGATGGAAGGTATGACAGGAAAATTATAATACATATATATATATATATATATATATATATATATATATATATATATATATATATCGTGAACATATCCACCTGCAGACTGCTCAACGAAATACACTGGTCAAGACAGGATGAGGGTTTTTGCTGTACAATATACAAGAATAC